CGTTTCTACTTTAGGCCGTCGATACTTCTAAATATAGCGACTCCAAACCCGACGATGGTGCCGTTCTATTTTTACACCAACTCGCCGAGCATCCCGCATAAATATAGCGCATAGTCACCTTTTTACACCGTGAGAAATTCACGTCGCGGCGAATCGGCACCGAGGTCACATGCGAATGCGAGCCCTTCCATCAGCTCTTACGACCTCGGAGACGTCACATCTCCGATCAACGTGCGTCCATAAGTTTGCGCTTGTATTAATACTCCACGACTTCGTGGCCCCTCACGAAAACGGCTCTCGGTATAAATGACCACCGGGTAGGAACGTACATGCGCTACTAGTGCATTGTGCAGCTTGGCCGTGTGCATGTAGTCGAATAATTGAACAAGCGGCAACGAGGAGAAAAGTGTACGTCCCATGTGTACGCGAGAGAGAGAGAGAGAGAGAGAGAGAGAGAGAGAGAGAGAGAGAGAGAGAGAGAGAGAGAGAGAGAGAGTCGATGCACAAAATCGCGCGGGTCAAGTTGCGACCCGTCGTGCGTGCTCGATTCTTAAAGTCGCGCGTTATAGCCTCTGGCATTTCATCTGCAATTCGAACTTAGCGCGATTAGTACACACGTTTGAGTCCGTCTCCGAGGACCTTATTAAATGAATAATTACACAGAAACGCAACGTGTACATCTGAAGAAAAAAAGCGCAAGTGGAAGGTCGTAGGATGACCGCCACGTGTCTTCGTTTTCCGGACGAAAGTTTCGATTCGAGAGAGGTTGAGGGTCAATTGGGATGCGCGGTCCGATACGAGCTCAATTTGTGCTACATTTTGGCACATCCCAACGACGACGACGACGACGACGACGACGACGACGACGGCGGCGGCGGCGATGGCGACTGGTCGGCCGCCTCGCGACGACCTCCGACGACGGCGTTGGCGGCGATGGCCGCAAGATCTCGCAGTCGCGTCCGTGCGCTCGACGACGGCGCGTCGTGGGTCGAGTGTCGCGCAGGTCATCTGGTTTGGTCTGTCCGCACGCGAAGCAAGCAGGAGGAGAAGCAGACGACGAAGAGGAAGCAGAAGAGGGGTCATAGGTCGACTCGCGACCGCGAAATGCGCGAGAAACCGCGGGCGGCTCGCGAACTCACAGGAAATCACGACAGCTACTACCTCGGTACTTGGGAGCGGCGCGTTTAGAAAGTTCGCGAAACGGCGAACCGACATCGCTGCCCGCGTCTCGTCTCTTCCCGCCGTCTCTTCCTCGTCATCTCTCTTCCGTTCGTGCTTTTTCCGCGTTCTCGTGAGCGGCGAAGCCGCTCGCCGCGAAGGAGAAAGCTTCTCTTTCCCCGCTCTCGTTGCTCGTTCCTTTCATATGGTCACGAGGACGATGACGACGACGACTGATGATTTGACGGTCCACGACTCGACTCTATGCAGCGCGGTCCGTTCCGTCCTGCGTCTGTGATTAGATTAAGGGATGGAAGTGCCGCAGCGTCGGCTACAGTACGATGCGGCACGGGAGAAGGGTAAACACATAGGTAGAGCGAGCGAGGGAGAGAGAGAGAGAGAGAGAGAGAGAGAGAGAGAGAGAGAGAGAGAAAGAGAGAGAGAGAAAGAAAGAAAGAAAGAAAGAATGAATCGCATCCTTCGTGAAGGATACTGCGCCTGCGGGCGCAATGATCTCGCGAGGAAACACTCGCAGCTTTGTCTTCCCCTTTGTAGTCTCGATGAGACGCGGACACGCCGCGGATTAGTTTCAAATGAGAGACGCATATAACTAAATTTTCGTAAAGCATTGATAATTAATTTATGAAATACTCTTGCGAGGGCGCTCGATGAATGTACGTAGCGACGAATCGATTCGTTGGATGATAATTTTATAGCGATTGTAGCTTTGTCGAATCGATCTTTATTCAAGTAATATATAATTTCGTTGGTACGCGATAACAAGCTGAAATGAAAAGACGAGTCGAGTAACATTGAAAATGGCCGATATCACTAAGAGTGATTTTTCAACACAAAACTGAAAAATATCAAATTTCCGACTGGCGTCGAGTTACTAAAATGGCTCAAATGGCTCTGTTCACGTGTATGTCACGCAAGAGTTTTCACACCATGCGTTACCTATGATATATCTCTCTTCATACTGATAGTCGATTTCGATGGAAATTTGTTACAGAACAAAATTACTAGACGATATGTTAGCGGAACAGTTAAAAATAATAGTTCTGTAACCCCTTCCGGTCAAATTACAGCTGCAAGATCAATGTGATAATTGCCTTAGGGAAAGAACGATAATCATTACTTGCAGGTAATTCTATACGTCTGATTGGATTCTTCTCAGCGAAATGTAAGATCCGATTAAATTACTATTTTATACACGCGAATGAATAAGAGAAATGAATAAGAATAGTGCAAAGAGAAAGGGGAGAATGCGAGAATTATTGAAGCGTCGAGAATCGCAGATTGAATTGAATATTATTATATAAGCGATAGATGAATAAGAAAAAAGGGAGGGATAATAGATGAGGATAATCTCGAAAGACGTCAGGAAGCAAAAGTCACATAGAGCGAAACGCGCGGCGCAGCTGCATCTTTCGCGCCTGAATTCTTCGGGAATTTTCCGAAGAAATACCAGGTTGTCGAGTACGTCTTGGAAATAAGAAGAGGGGGGGTGGCAGTCTCTTATTTACCCGCGCGATCCTTCGGGATTCACGTCGAGGGGCTGACTGTAACGAATTTGACCTGTCAGACCCGAGAGAACGGAGAGCGGCTGAATTTTACCCTCGGCAGGTATCGCGACGGAGTCGCTTAGATCACAACGAATAAAAATGAACGTCACCGTGTACTACGAGATGTTCCCGAAATAGATCGCCGAGCGTTCCCAACGCGCGTTCCATTCGCCCTAAGACTGAAGATAACTCGTATGTATACGATCGTTCCAGCCGCGTTATAAACACTCGATCCAATTAGTACTCAGATCCAATTAGTAGAGATCCATGAGGCTGGCGGTAACCGTCGAGGGTTAAATTTGTATCCTGCTCTTCCCCGACCTGAATAGCACCTCCGATTGCGCTCTCACGTCCTTACCTTCAACCTGGAGTTGCGGAAAAACGCGTTCCCGCGCGACTCACGCGCCGTCACGCGGCTCTTCTTGCACGCGATCGAATGATTCCTTCACGAATTGAATCGAGAAGAAATTGTCTCGCGCGGACGAGAATCATTATTTTTCGCAGTTAGTCTTCGACTTCTCTCGAAGACGATCGAGAGGATGTGATACAATGTATGCGTTCTCGACGGCGAGGAAAATTGTCGCGACTCGAAGGGAGAAAATCGTTATTTGCCATCTCGCTCCTCCGCCCACCAGCCATTACACGCTTTTGGCCTGCGCTCTCTTAGACGCGATCTCAATTTTGGACGAAAACCGACGTGACCTCGTCCGGGTCACGATCAAGGACGCACATGTCACGGCGCTCCGTATGGTCGGTGCTACTTGGCTCCATTTCGTTTACTTCACAATGCACCGACACTCGAATTCACGCTCGACCGGATAACTAGGTCGATAGCTCGTCCACTAGTGCGTCCACTGCCCCATCATCGTAATTCTCGTTGTTGCTGTTGTTGCTATTGCTATTGTTACTATAATTCCGGCTCCATTATCATCGTAATCTCTTGGAGCGGCCGCGATTATGAGTTATTAAGAGGGGAAAAGCGAACTTCGAGCACCGCGACCCATTTCTTCCTCAGTCGAGCGGACCAGAATCCGCGAGGTAAAATTTCTGACATACAACTTTGCTCCGTTTTTGCTCCGTCGCTTGCGTTCATGAACGCGTCAAACCTAGAGAAACGTCTCTTCTTACGGTCTACTTTGCGTCGCCGGAAACCGCAGATTATCGAGCAGATGCGGAAGACGAAACAGAACGGATGTATCGTTTTAATTTCGAAAGACGGGAGCTGCTTCGTTTTTTTACCCTTCTACGTAGTTAACTCTCCGCTCTCTTTCTCTCTCTCTCTCTCTCTCTCTCTCTCTCTCTCTCTCTCTCTCTCTCCCCCTCTCTCTCTACGTGAGGCGACAATAAAAATTTTCCCTCGCGTCCCTATCGCGTATCTCTCCCGTGCGATTTTCGAAGACAGAAAAATTCGGATGAACGCTCGCGAGAGCTCCTGGCGCGCCGCCAGATTTTCCCGAGCTGTCGCGTCGCGAGTTTGTCGCCTCGATATCTTTCGGGAACTGGGTTATCGCGTACATGTGCGTTCGTGAACGCAACGAGGAAAGTATATAGGCGAGTGAGGTGAATCAGAGATTTCGGTCGGCCAAAATAGAATCGATCGGGGCACCTTGTAACAAACGACGTGTCTCGAGATAGAGCTTATGCAACGGCACGCTCGACTCGAGACACCCTGTATACTAAGTGATTAAATGACACGATGCGAAAATGCGACAGTGGAGCGACTGTTAAAGATGCTGCATAGATGTATGTATGTGCACTACCATTATATAAGATTCGATGAATGTACATAGAGAAGACCGTGACATTTGCGCGCGCGTGTGCATTCTCGACTCGCGGCGGAACTCGCTCGTTTTCGCAAGTCACCGGTAATCGCAACGTGTACGCTCTCGACTTTTGCTCCAGATCGACGGCGACCGTTCTCTCGCGCTCGTTCTCGTAAACAAGACCGATTGTCCTCCGAGGAGTGTCTTCCGCAGCCTCGCCCGTCTTCCCGCAAGCCGATTAAATCGAACGTCTCATCGTGCCGCTCACGCATTTCCAGACCTGATAAGAGACGATGAGCACGTAGCAAGCCGCGCGGGCTCGCAATTAGTTGAGCTTTTAATTGTAGAGAACCGTTCCCGCCGAGGACAGCCTCTGTCGGAAGAATATTCGAATCGAATTACAGAGGTGGGGAGGAATATACAGATGCGCGACCGAGGAGGTGTATGGTTATTAAGCGACGACCGATTGTCCTGCGCTGCTACGGCACCGAGTAAGAGATCTTATGATTGTCAGGAGACTCAAGATGCATGAGCAGTCGAATTGTCCACGCGAGCTGAACGAATGTCAGTCCCGTTAAGCGCTCGACCGACCGTGCGTTCTCCGTTCGCACAAGTCACCCTTCGTACAAGTCCGTCGAAGACCAGAAGAACGGTCATCGTGACTGTTCTCCATCCGCTCGCTAACAACCGGAGGACCGCAAGGAGCGATCCTCGAGGTGCGTGAAAGCAATCCCGACGCGCTATCTCGGGACGAGAATTCCGTCCTCCAAGAGTCGAAGGAAGAGTCGCTCCCCACGTCGAGGTCGAGGTCGAAGTCGAGGTCGAGAGAAAGAGAGAAGATTCGCGCGGGCGTTTTCGCGCGTAGATCGACGAGTCCCGGACGAACGTCGTCCCGGCGTCCTCGGCTGGCCCGGCGTTCGATGACAACTGAACAAGATTTGGTGCTTACCCAGCGTGCGTGAGCGGATCCTCGGGCACGAGGGCGGTGCGCCGAGGAGATCGTCCTCAACCACGACGATCACAACGTCGACGACGACGACGATGCTGCGCTCACCGGCGCGCGGCGCCGTCACCGTCCTCCGGGAGCCCTTGTCCGCTTCCGCGTCCGCATCCGCCGCCGCCGCGGCGGCCGCGGCGGCCGCGGTGGCCTCTTCGGCCACGACCGTCTCGGCGCCGCCGACGCCGGTTCATCACGGCGCCGCCGATGCCGGCGCCGGCAGCTCGAGCGCTTCCTCCTCGCGCCTCTCCCTGCTCGACACCTGCCACAGGAAGATCAGGCTCTTCGGCGAACTAGTCGCGTGAGTTCCCACTTCCCCGCCAGAACGATCGTGTAGATGATTATGTATATTATAGTGCTCTCGGGAGTCTCGGCTCTCGCTTTGGTCGAACGACTCGAACAGTTCGGACTCGACGGGCCAGGTCGAGGTCGCGGCGGATGTCCTCCTGCGGGCGGGTGTGTGTGCGTCCGAGCAGTTGGAATTGTTCGCGAGAAACTGTTAAGCGAGCCGATGACGAAAAGGATCCGTGAAGAAGGAATGGACGAGCGCTGTTTGTCCTAGGTTGTCGAGAAGAATATCTTGCCCCAAGATCCGTTTCGAACGTTCCCCGCGAAGGATCACCCGCGGGGATCTCGGATCGCGATCGCGGTGGCTCGATCGATTTCTTTCGTCGAACTGTTCGAGCAATTCGATCACTTACATAGTTTATTCGAGTCTTTTGTATGAGCCCTGGTATGTTATGTACGTTGTATCACTACAACGCGCGCTGCGAAAGTCGCCCGCCGCGATGTAACAGGGACGCGAGAGAATATTCCACCTGGTTGTACATAATAAATATTCGGCATTCTCTCTCTCTTTCTCTCTCTCTCTCTTTCTCTCTCTCTCGGGAGAGGATAAATTCGTTTCAACTCGCATTAGTCGCTATTCCGGACGGCAGTCCGCGACGGCGCGGTCGAGAGTGATGATGACGTTGTTCAATGTAAATTGGTGCCGTGGAACACCGGCTAGTCGAAATTTGATAAATATTAATGGTACCTGTTGATAGTTAAATATGTGCCAATATCCTTGGATTGTTAAGATGGAAGCGCACAGTACGCTCTAAAGTAACGATCACACACGAAACTGCCGCGGACAAAGTCTCTCTCGTGACTGGAAAGCCGAGCGTGTTCGGAAATTGCAGAAAATATATATATACATTTATGTATATCGAAGGAACACCACTTCTCTCGTCCTACACACAGCAGTGGGGCCATATTCGTAGCGAAATGGCCGAGGAACGCGCGACGTACCGAACAGGAGGGTGATGACGATTTTCGGGGATTATCACCGCTCGTGTTTATCCTGTTTCGTTTACGTGACGTGGCTTCTCGGACCGAGCCGCTACGATATGTATGCGTGTTTCGGAAGAAGCAAAATGCCGCGCGGCGGCATTTTGCGCGCGGCATTTTGCTGCATTTTGACGTATTTTCGCTCGGGACGCGGCTGAGGATCGCGGCAGAATCAAATATTTGGCATATACACCGTGTGAAAAATTGCACCTGAGGAATATCGCGCAGCGCTCGCGAATTCACGATTATCATTGTTATGACGTGCGGATCAAGAGAGCGTGCGGGATTATAAGCGACGTGAATCTGCACGTACTCGTCTGACCGTCTTGTGCCAATTTTTCTACGTATACATACATATATATGCGGAGATGTGCAGCTTCTTTCCAGGAGCATGTGCTTTCTAGAGGAAGTTTTAAGCGCTTTGGATCGTGTAGACATGGCTGAACGTCGCTGCTATCGTTATTGCATGTAATTGCATTTTTCACTGGCAGGAAGCTAAATGTGCGACGCCGGCTGCTACATATTAAACGAGCTCGATGCGAAAAGTGTATCTCTCTTACGTTTTGTTTTCTCCCTCCCTCCCTCTCTCTCTCTCTTTCTCTCTCTCTCTCTCTCTCTCTCTCTCTCTCTCTCTTACACACACACACACATACAAGAAAACAAAGCAGCAGACTGGAATACTTTTTCTCTGTGAATTATATATGTTAGCATTCGTTCGGTTTACACGATTGCGACTTGTCAGTTTGTTTTCTTGATGTTTGATATTGTTACGTATGATCCTGTCGTATTTGCAACTGTTCGCATTTATTATGGATCCACTGACGATTACGCTTTGTCGAATCTGTTGAAATTGTATTGATTTCTGTATCTTCAAGGATTACAGTTCCCTCCCACGACTCAGTTGTGTTGAGTCGCGTTTAGACCATTATTTGTTTCGACCGAACCTCCGCGTTTTCAATAATTTTGGCACACTTCGAGCTGCAATGAAAGGATATTTAAATTGTTAGATCATCATCCGAAACATTCGGTGTTTATTTGCGCACGAGGAGCCGATCTATCTCCATCAAGAACACGGCGCTCGGCTCGTGATAGATTAAAGGCAAATTGAAGTCGGAGTCGGTGATCGTACAATTCCGATAATTCGCTAATCTAATTAATGACGCAGTGTTGGTCGCATTTAATGACGAAACTCTCTGTTCGATCAGTTCCGGTCGATCTGGAGACCGCGGATTAGCGTGCTCCACAATGTATTTTGCGAAAAGCTTCTCGGAAGTTTCACCGACAACTTGCTTCAAAGACTTCCTCTTGACGATTACAATTCGATAGCATCGTCTCTAAATCTAACTTACACAGCACACGACAAGATTGAGCGAGCGATCTTCGCGTAAACTCATTGCTCACCATCATTTTGTCAGTTTTATGTAATCTTTAGATCTCTCTTCTGCTTGATCATACGGTAAAAGCGATCTCTTCGCCCTTTCTTTTTCTTTTTTTTATCAAATGTGATATACAGGATGTTATTCGCGATTAACCGAACGCGCGTGAAAGTAATCGGCGTAGTCGATCGAGAAGCGTCGAGGAGAAACTGGAATCTTCGACGTGAATTAACCGATATATGCGCGAATACATTGAAACGAGATATTTATTGTACATTTAACTGTTCATTTCGTTACAAGGAAATCCCCATTTTACGACAATGAGTTTTTAGCGATGAATTTGATTTTTCGCACAACGTACCTACTGAACTTACGCAAGGCTGTGGCTATGTTTTTTATGCGTACATATATATATATATATATACATACATATATAAACAAACTTTTAGACGCGTGATACTCGTGATTTTGCTTGATTGGCTTAAGCGTTTACGAGGATCATCGTCGTGAGCCTCGAGTTGAGTTTCTCGCTAATTGCGCGATTGTTTCGTCATTGCAGAAAAGCCAGACGAAAGGAGAAGGATGCGGGAACCACGGAGGATCCGAAACTGTACCTGGAGGAGGCAGCCCTCGAGAGGCAGCTGCCGGAGTTGGACCTGAGGATGCTCGTGGATCTACCACCCGGCCTGGATTACAACGAGTGGCTGGCATCGCACACCCTCGCACTGTTTGACCACATTAATCTCGTCTACGGCACGATATCCGAGTTCTGCACCATGACAGGTTGCCCCGACATGACTGGTCCCGGCTTAAGGTACGCACTTCCTCTTCTTCTACTTCGGAATATACCGATAGGTATAAAGTTTCTATATTAGCTGTTGGTTTCTTCCATCTTCGAGATCGTTACTACCTACATCAATGGAATGGTTTATCTTAAGCCTGATTTAAAAGCGTAACGCGACACGAAAGAATCGAGGAATTTGAGATTTGAAGATTTAAACGTAGCACATTGATTGATGAAGTTTTAAAGATTGAACCAAACTATTTACCGTCGTACAACCGCTGCTGTGGTTTCGCACTAGAAACGGCCGATTGATCAGTCACAACAACAACTGACAACTGATTTATCATTTCAGAACGTATCTGTGGTTCGACGAGAAGGGAAAAAAGACGAGGGTGGCGGCACCACAATATATAGACTACGTTATGACATTTACGCAACGCACTGTTAGCGATGAAACTATATTCCCTACAAAATACGGTAAGAATTATTAAACTTCCCGATACTATGCATGCTCTTTTAAATATGTCAAGTTTGTTGAAAAAATTAATGCTGATGACACAATCAATCATAATTAATCTAAAATTTATTCTACTCGGGTCAATTGAAGTGTAATTAAGCGCCGAGAGCAATAACAATTAATGTGTCGCGATATTTTCCAGCGAATGAGTTTCCAAGCTCATTTGAGTCCATAGTGCGTAAGATCCTGCGGCTACTGTACCACGTGGTGGCACACATTTACCACTGCCACTTCAGGGAGGTGGCGCTCTTGGGGTTGCACGCTCACCTCAATTGTGTTTTCGCCCACCTCACGCTCCTCAATCAACGCTTCAACCTTATAGATCCCAAGGAAACGGAAATCCTGGGGGATTTAGAGGCCGCTCTCTTGGGTAAGTTTTACGCCACCGGCGGCGGTATTGATCGATGCCGGTTACGCAATATGCTCGGCATCGGGAGATCCTGGGAGAGCTAGTCGCGTTTAGGAACGAAAGAATGTTTTTATTCGTGCGATCGATCGCGAGCTATGCGTTCGTCCTACGCAAGAGGAGGGAACCTTCTCATCGTTATTAAGTCAGCTCAGTTAAACTTGCGGTTTGCGTGCGGCTCGTAATACTCTCCGGTGAGGCCTACCGCACTCGGGAAGGTTCTCTCTGGTGGAATCAATCGCGCGATTAAGGAGCGAAACCGATTACATGCATTAGGCGTATATTTAGGCTACATTTATCCGCCTCTCGCCGTGGAGAGATAATAAAAATATTCGATTTTATATTATCGATTCTTTCCTGCTTACAGGTGACTCGACATCCGCGCCTTCGCAGACCTTAGCCATCCAGGAGACTCCGACCACAACTACCACTACCACCACCACCACTACCACCACCTAGATCGCGATGCGTCGTAGCGAGCGAGCAGAGGTTGCAGTTCCTGAGACTAGGTGACGATAGGCGATTCGTTCGTTTGTTCGTTCGGTTTTCTTTCTCCTCTTTTCCTTTTTATAGATACTACGCGTAAAAGAAAGAATACAGATTGTGATGCCGTCAGCATGTTTGGCAGGATCGAGGATAGCTGGAGAGAGAGAGAGAGAGAGAGAGAGAGAGAGAGAGAGAGAGAGCGGCGATTCTATAAAAAAAAAGAAAAAAAAACAAGGAAAACGATACCAGTAGTACCTGTATATAGCGAAGTGTGAACAATTACATGATGTAATTAGGTTCCTCCGTTTGTTGTTTGTGAGATTGTACATAATTTATTAAATAGTAAGATATATACGCGAGAGAGAGGGAGAGAATGTGCGAGAGAAAGAGAGAGAGAGAAAGTGCGACAAAGAACGAGTATTGATTATTATTGACAAAGTTAGTTGCTATAAGAGATAATTTGTTCTGTAAAAAATGAAACAATAATATTGTAAAGTTAAAATAATACCAAATATATACCTGGTGTTAAGGCATGTGTTATTGGTGACAAGTCGCAAGTGAGGATACGAATTTTTTTCGCTCAAGATTCGACGACTCCACGCAGCGTAGAGAGTCGCGGTCTTCCTCGGAGACGAATCACCTTTTCTGTCCGTTAATGACACTTTATTGCAAGTCTTAAGCTCTTAATCTGACTTTCAGCGATATTCGAGTCAAAATGAAATAATCACTCCAAATGATTATTTACTTACCTCTCGTTAGATATTTGTAACAACTCTCGAGATATTTTGTAGTACATCACTATCCACTGCTACCTACAAGTTCAAGTGCTAGCAACGGTCGGTGTATGAACGTGCTTCACTTCCACGAGTCTGATCGCGGCGCAAAGATTCGCTATCTCCCTGAGAAAGAGACCGAGTGCTTCGGCTATCGGTTGGCAAAGATCCCTCAGCGACATAGCGATGTTGTAAAATAATATCAGTATCGGCTGTATGAGAGCGTTGAACACGATGGACAGTAGAGGTTTCACGAAGTAATCCGCTATCAGCTGCAATATGCCCACTGTCAGGGGCCGGATCACACTGTAGAGCAGGAATCGAAGAAGCTGCAGGATGAAAGCCATGATGAATGCGGTGCCGATGTGAATTGTGCCGAAGATCTCCGCCCAGAAGCGAGTCGCCGCTTGGTCTGTCTTTTCGGCGCACTTGTCCGTAGTTAACACAGGATGACAATCGGTTGTTTGATAATATCTGCAAGGAATATCGCGTTTTAATTGCGTTATACAATGTGATAGACTTTTACGATACGGTAATATCGATAAATAAGGTGAGAACTATTCTTACAAAATTTATTATGAAATTAATATTTGCCAAAAGTATTGCAAGAGATCTTCACAGAAATATTGTTAGTCAGATTTGGGATCGTTCTGTGTGTGTGCAAGTATTGAATTGAAACAATTATTATTACACTCACGCGGAGTTCCCATGGTCGAAGTAGTAAATCTCGATCTTTTCCACGGCTTCTTCCTTCTTGGGTCTCGTTTTCATTTGATGCTTGGGCAGTTTCGATTTGTCGAGAAGATCGTAGGACTTGTCGTTCTTACTCGGTATCCCGTCTGATATGTCGCAACAGACAAAAGACTGAAATTCACGGGTCGGATCGGGTTGCTGTTTACACGCGCTGCTCGCTCGCACTTTGGCGTAGTGAGAACATTGAGTTTGTTTCAGCTTTATCTCGTACATTTTATTCTCCTTGCCGCAATACACATTCTTTGGCTGTTTCCACTTGAAACGGCTCCAGAACGGTCTCGATTGCGGTTGTTCTAGGAAAAACGTATATTTTACATCCGGTATGTGCTACAGCAAAATTAAGTAACACATCGTTACAAAGGTACAATCGTTATTGTACATACCTTCCTGGAGTTTCACCGGCAAAACATAGCCGTTGCTGAAACGACAAATCTATTTTAAGAAATATATCTCGGTCAACGTAACAGAGAGACAGACATTTACATTTTGTGAGTGTGACAGAGGCACGGAAAACTCGGTGGGAATTGTAAAGTAGTAGTCGTCGGGTGCGGATTCTTCGAACTGTTCTGCTGCGATTGACGATCCGATTTCGTTGGAAGCGATTTTGCCACCTCAGTCGCATGATAATTCGTGCCTGGCGACGCATTAGGAGAATGTTTGTGCTTATCTGCACAGGGAGCATTTTTATAAAAAAAAAAAATTGCAAATATTAAACATAGAAATGAGTAACAACTATGATTACATGATCTTTTAGGCCTTCGTGATGTGGAGAAATCTTCGACCTGGCTTTCGGGTTGCATGACGAAACGTCAGAAACAAATTCATGAAGGACAAATTCCGGCATTAACCCGGAAGTCAGACGAAGCATTAGATTGCGATTAGATTTTTGTTAAAAAATCTGTAGAAAAAGAATATCCGGTTGTCGGATAGCCTGATAATTTAAAAGATGTGCACCTTTCGATTCCTCGACGACGTCATTTCCTTTGTCTGTCGCTTTTCTGCAAAGATTCGCATCAGGGTTCCTGGCTGACGTAACATCATCCGAACGCAAAGACGTTACATTGGATGGTTCTGTGCTGTCGGTGCAAGAACAATCGCCTTCTGTAACCATGTTAAATGCATTTCCTTGCGATAGAACGCATTGAACGAAAAATTAAAATAACAACCAACATCAAGCAACGAAAACTGAACTATCGGAACAATGACGATGACAAAAGCGATTTGCACTCTTATGTGCATACGCATGTGGCGCGTATTCAAGTCGTATCGTATTCAATCAGACGTCCCCGTTTGTCGGTGGAATCTTGTTAAGATTAAAATTAGGATGTTACACGAGCACGTTTCGTTTGTATTACATACACTTATATTTCAGTTCTAGTTAAATCAAATGCTGTCAAAAGAAGCCGCCAATAAAACAGGTTTGCCATTGCAGAATCCCATCGATAATAATGCGCATGTCTGCGAGAGTGGCGCGCTCCTCGTCCAATCATTTTGACAAGTCCCTGTGCGCGCGGTGTACGCCATCTTGGTTGCGATTTAATATGCTTTCCGGTAACGGTCGTTGAAACGCGTAACTGCGTCCTTGTTATTCTTCATCTAGCAAGATGACGTGAGTTCATAATTTTGTTGAGTATTCATAAGATATTAATCTCTTTCCATCGTTTCATATCTCGTAAATAATAATAGTCGTCAAGCGGAAAGAGAATAAAGTCTTTATTTGATGAGGGCAACCCAGACAGCATTTATGCTGTCCGAGAACGTAAATTGTAACATTTGCATTTCAACCTGTGGCGATACCCGCATCTCAAAATAATTTGACCTAATAGTTTTTATATTTATTTATTTATTTATTTATATATCTAAGTTCTTTCAGCATATAGAAATTTCTTAAAAAATTATTAAAAAAGAAACTGAAAAATGTGAATGGATATCTGTTTTTTGGAAAATGTTCCTTTTTTTTAATGATTAATCTTTTCTACAAAAATCCAGAAATCATTGTGTATCTTATGAATAACAATGGCTATTAGAGAAGAAATCGTTAATCAAATAGATTTCCTATTTGTTTGTTTTTGATTATAACAAGACTGGAAAAAATTTCCCAGGTTGTTGTTATCCCACCAATAGTCAATGGTTGATAAAATTGTTGGTAGCCTTGACTTGGTCCAGGCCACCAATGAATTTTAAATGAAAGTATATAGTGTAATCAGATATATGACTATTTTTTTCCGTAACAACAAGTGTAATAATATTTTTATTGTCATATTCCACAAGTTTCTGTCAATGGTATTCAGATAAATTGAAATAATGCTTGACGAAAAACAACGATTGATATAAAGCAAACATATCTCAATATGGTTTCTCTACTGAAGAAATACTGGTAAAATATATGTTTGCCGCATATCAAATTGTCCATAGGATTATCGTAGTGACTATACTAAGCTATGCTCAACACATATGCTAGCGTACACCTGCTGCAATAAAAATAGAAAAAAAAACAAGAATCCAATGATTCGTATCGTATTTCGTGCCGACGATAAAACTCTTAATGTCGTACTACTATGATATCAAGTTTAGTAAATTCTGAAAGTAGGATAAGAAGTATTTATGTAATCACGTTATATTGTGGATATGCGATAATGTAAAGCAGTCACTTGGGTAAAATTCCCACAGATAAAAAGGTACAGAGTTATCTGCAGTTTCTCTTAAAGAGTATTTGTACTTATATATACTTGCGTCACCTGTAAATTGTAGAGTGAATCGGTAAAATTTATATTTTTGTCGAGCATGTTACATTTTTTATTTATTTTCTATAAAATTAAAATAAATTTAATTAAATTAAATTAAACTAAAGTTTAAATTAATTTAGACATTTTTTATTTATTTATTTTCTGTAAAATTTAAATTAAACGAAATGGTATATAAATAAATATATCAATATTTTTCGAGAGAGCATCACTAATTATTTTTATATTTCATAAGTCGATGCAAGGTGATAATACAAATATATCTAAAGCGGCTGTTTGAATTTTCTTTTAATTAGAAGAAATTTCATGCATAATTATATATAATTAATCGGAGATACGGAGATACCAATTAGTAGCTACGTATCTTACGATTACAATCTTACGATTACAAATCTTACGATTCGATACGTTTTGAGTGTATATTCGAGAGATCCTTGCTACTCGCTTTCTGTTAAGGTCTCTTATCCATCCAGTTACCTGTTTACCCAAACCCTCCAGTAAGACATAGATGAAATACTACATGTTCGACGCTAATGCAACGAGCGATAAAGGAAGGGAGCTGGGCCCAGAATCCTGCTTATGGGGCACTTCTTTGGAGACTGCGCCCGCACGTAGGTAGATATACCTGTTTGCGCGTGTGTATGTGGATCCTACAGGGCACACCATGGCCAAGTTATTTCCAAACGATCTTTGTGGGGGCAGTACGGCGGCGGTCGCTGCGCTTTGAAGGAGCACATGGTTTCAAGTTCCGCTTCGTAAGCAGATGCTAGCGAAGCCGAGGACCCGCGTTTAACGTTTCGCTTCCTCTTTTCGCATTTTTATGCGTGCAAGCCTCGCGGAACTATCTCACTGTGTGCATATGTTCGTCAACTTTTGGGAGATCTCTTTGGGATTTGTGGAGAATAATCTATTCTTCCCTGCTACCTCCTTGGGATTTTCGAACATCAATGGAGTAAGATATTCGTGTAAGTTCAGCAAGTTCATTTCAAATTTGTTTCAGAGATGGATACACAATGACGGATGAATCCGAGTAAAAATTTCGAGAACATGATTTTTTTTTCATATTTATTTATATCTCCAAATATATAAATTGTATACCAATTAGTGCAGAATGATCTGCAGTTAAATCACGAAATTTTATTATATATTTCGAACAAATCTCAGAGAAAATTTCTTGTAAATATTGAGAAATCAATATTTTTTCTTTTCAATAATAAATAATTAAAAATGTAAGATCTCTTTCCGTGTGTGTGTGTGTGTGTGTGTGTGTGTGTGTGTGTGTGTGTGTGTGTATGTTTGTTAGTAAATTCAACTGGAAGGAAAGGATAATGAAACTGTTCATTTAATTTTATTAGTGAATTTTAGGGCATAATAGTAACACATTTTTATTCTAGAGTTTTGAAACAATTATTTTTGCGCTGCATACAGCGATAACAAAAGAGACAATAATGTCTGCATGAAAGAGGACGAATGTAATTGATAAACGCGAATAAAACCATTATCGCACTTGACAGAGTGTGATTTTCTGATACGACGACCTGATTTTTATTTCCGATAAAATTGTCGCTTTTCGTAAATCGTGATTATCTCGGGCACCGCTGATATGTATTTACATACTTTTGATGACCAATGCAAAAATAACCACTGATAGCGTTATCAAATTATAAACCGCAGAAAAATCACCGGTCAGTCGCAAAAAAAACTCGGTAAGGAGCATAAACTTGACTTGATTTATACATACATAAAAATCTCCCCCAATGAAGTGACGGTCGACAGAGAATGCGAAATCAAGTTCTACTGCACTTTGCCAATTTGGTCTAAAGGTCCACAGAGATCGAGATAATTTTCCGCAGTATTATCAACGGTATATACAACCGGTGTACATAATACCGGAGTCCAGGTTCAGGCTCCTCCTCATTCCACCACGCGGAAGGTAGTGGAAAATGCGAAAAATCGCATATGCGCGGACTATCGAATAGCCAGTGGCGCTTGTATTTGTTTAATAAAGTGACCACGAAGAGTGCACTCTCCGGGCGAGTGGACTCTAGCTCGTTATCAGCGATATAGCAGAACGGAGACGACCAAACAGGCGGAAGGCTGTTAACGAGCCGCGCGGTTGGGCAATGATTATCGAAAGCACCGACAACGACAACGGCACGATGACGACGACGACGATGAGTTACTGACGCTCCTCTCCACCTTTTTCAAACAGTCGTGGAGAAACCCGCGGACCGATGCTATTGTGAGCGCGGATTATCTGTTTGACAATCGCGCGGAACCGATAACGCCAAAACCGACCGAACGAGTGAGTGAATCAGTGCCGTTTCTTTTTATTTCGAGCTACGAAAGAAGAAAAATAGAAAAAAAAAGATAATAATACTGCTGCCGATCGACACGATTCGAAAGAATGCGGTGCTTAGCGAAACTCCGACGGTAAATATCCAAAGTCAAGAGATTAACTGTGTATCTCAATATGCGCAATAAAATGTATAATGTATAAACATGAATATACGCGAGCTTGATTTTCTGCCGCATTGTGGAGACTATATTTTATTATTATTGGCAATTAATGCTACTTCATACTAATTTTATTAATTTTTTGCCAGTTACATACGAGTCTGTGTGCATTCTTATTTACACGCGAATGTTACGCGTCATGTCGTAACAACACCTGTCGACGAACTGTGTAGAGAGAGAGAGAGAGAGAGAAGAAATTATATTTTAATTTTAAAATTAAGAAAATTAGATTTTGCGGGAGACTCTTCTTGTTAAAAGTAACTTTTTAGCGTTCTCGCTTTTGGAAAGATTATCAGTGCGAATGTGTGCGAAATATAAGGGAAACGTGTAGCAAAGTTTACGAAAGCTGAACATATCCTTGAGTGATTGCGCATGCAATCCTTTGAATGGGCGTGAAAGGAAACAGATATGACCGCTAGAAATCATCAGCTTCCAAATCATTTCCGCCCTGCATTGTATGAACAGACAGAACCGCGCTACATTTTCTTTTAACAAATACATTTATGTTTTTATATATCTCCGAGAAAAATAGTTTCGAATATTGAATTGCAATTCGTTAGAAAAAAGATAATATAGTACATACATGAAATTACGCGTAAAAAATTCAAGACTATCCAATAATGACAATTTAATGTTTTATTTTCACACACACACACACACACACAGAGACAATATATGTAATGAGCATGTATAAATTTTTTTCTAGTTTTGTTTCTAGTTTCTCGTTTGTTTCTAGTTTTCTTCACAAGTAACACGAACACACAATGATAATGTGCCTTTGTTTGTCAACGTAACAAAATCGTTGATTCTGTTTGATCTAAAATTTATCGGTTTCTTTGCCCAAGTGACGCGAATAAAACATTTCCCAACCGATTGAGACATGAACAATTAACAACTGACTCTTCTCTGTTTGCAGCACGTTCTAGAACATGATTCTTGAAAAACACTTGGTGCTGCTCATTCACGCTCTTTATTTTCTCTGCGCACGTTGCGACGATGATGCATTCACGTCGCGAGAGACCACGATCGTTACGTCGATGGAGCTAAGTCACGATCTTGGATCTACGGAAAGTCTCATGTGCTGTGATTCTACGACCATGTCGGGTCTCACGAGCCAAGATCCTGGATCTACAAGCAGTCTCGACGGTTCCACGATCTACGAACATTCAACTACAATAATGTACGAGTCAAGCACTGACAATCAGGATAAATACTTAAAGACTGATATTCAGGCAGATTCTAACACCGATGAAACGTCAACTTCTTCGACCTCGTTCTTGTCAACTGTCGATGAAACGTTCCTCCCCTCGACCTTACCGTTCTCGTCGACCGTCGCTGAAACGCCCTCTTCGACCTCGTCGTACTTGTCAACTGTCGATGAAACGTTGTTGTCTTCGACCTCACCGTTCTCGTCGACCGTCACTAAAACGTTCTCTTCGACCTCGTCATCCTCGTCAACCATCGATGAAACGTCATCCTCTTCGACCGTCGATTTTTCCACGCAGACTGCGAAGACCACCGATGTACCCGACAATGTGACTTCTTCGAGCACGGTGGATCCTACTTGCGATTCTTCGTGGCCAATAAACGCAACAGGTGATCAAAACGATTTTCACTAGAGATTCGTGACGCATATATTTGTGAATTATGAATTAGTAGAATCTCGATTTAACGTTCTTATTTATTCTATATATTGATATATTCGTGTTTTTTTCACAGATTACATGAGAGAAGTGGTTGACTTGAAGAGGGACGAAATAGGCACTGAATGGGTCGTTTTGTCGTGGGATCCTCCGTGCATAGTCACAACGAACGTCTCAATAAAATACTCGGTCGAAAGATGCGACCACGAGCAGAACTGCAACCAGACGATAGGATACGAGACATCGCACAATGTAACCGATCTCGATGCATGCACGCAATACACGTTCGTTGTGAAAATTATCACGAATTTTTGGACGTCCAATGGAGTCAAGTTGCAAGCAGCGACAGACAATGCCAGTAAGTACATTCATACCTAATTTATATAGATTAATAAGATAAAAATTTAATTGAAGCTAATCTATTCAAAAGAGATACTTTATACTCGCAGTACACACTCGAGCAAATACTAAAAATATGTGTGTAACATACAAGTGTGTATTTATATCTTCGTTAATAAAATAATATTTTAATAACTAGAAAGTAATATTTTAATAAAGATAAAATAATATTTTAACAACTATCTTCATCGATAAAATATATATCTCTTCCAGTTCCCGAAATCGGCGAGGTACGCTCCCTGAGCGTGGGCGCCTTCGACGTCAACACCGTCCAATTAACTTGGCTGGCGCCCGAGAAACATGCCAACTGCGTATCGAATTACTCGATCCTGCAGTGCATCGGGCAATCATGCAATGCGACCACGGTCTCCGCCGTAAATTACACCGCCAACAATCTCGAGATGTGTACGCAATATAACTTCACTGTTAAAACACTGACGCTAACCGTGGAATCTGCCGGTGTGAATACAAGCGCAACAACGGCTTCGCCGAGTGAGTATAAATTAAGTGTCTCGAAATTAGCGGAAAGTGAACGCAATGGATCCATAGCGCGTCGAGTCCACTTTCTGTCGATTCTAGTCGAACAGTCTGTGCGTCGTTTAACACTTGCGCAAATTCACTCCCGATTTGCCAATTTGCAGTACCGTCGGAGCTACAGTCCATGATAATAATATCAAGTAATTTCTCCTTGGCTGTCCAATGGGAACCGCCGCAGTCTGGCTTGACCTGTCTGAAGCATTATCGCGTGGTAGTGGCTCCTGTAAACATTAGCTTCACTACTGTAGAAACGAACGTAACAATCTCAAATTTATACGCTTGCGTCTCGTATTCCGTGTCCGTCAACGCTGTAAACAAGGATAATCAAGATGGACCCGTAACGTGCAAAACCAAAGAGACGAGTCAAACTAGTAAGTGCGTTGCTTTTGTTTTACTTATTATTTTGGTTCGTTCACTTCACCTTCGTAAACTTCGCTTATATCTATCGTAATCTATAATAACGGCTAATAGATAACGGCTAATTTTTGCACTCCAGGGACAAATCCGCCGACATTGCACACAGGGGATTTGGTCACCGTGGACAGTATATCGATAATCGTGAGTATCCAGAGAGACAACAATCGTTGTCTGCTCAACACCCTAGTAGCCACGTGCAATTATACATCAACGAATGGGACCGGGTTCGAGCTCATGAACGGCGTAGCCACAGAGAATATAGACCCGAAGAGCGCTGAAGGCTCTTTCATCTTTATGAACATGACGGTGAAGAAATTGAGTCCTTTCACGGAGTATATTTGCAAAGCGTACGTCATTAACATGGGCGGACAGAGCGATAACAGCAACGGAGTTACCGCTCAGACAATGGAAGACGGTGAGCATGCGTTATCGTCGTGACAATATATAGTTTTAACGAATAGTTCGCAGTTTGATTGATTTGTCGACTTAGCAGCATTAAGTTAAGCAATTAATTAAATTCGTCAAGCGCTTAACGTCAAGCGTTATAACGTTTCGATTTTGTTGTCGACCTCAGTGCCGTCACCGCCTTCGTTTCTCGTCATGAACATCACGGAATCGCAGTTCTCTTTAACTTGGAACCGACCGGAATATTTAGCCGGTAACGTGGAAGATTACGAGATCGCGCTCGCTTGGATGCCGCTCTTTCCGGTTCCAGCTTGGTGCACCCCAGAAGTACCCAACAGCGATGAGATTATGAAACTTAACGATACACAATCTTACGATTATCACAAAGCGAAAGCTTACAGGCAATACAAGATAAGGATGAGAGCAAAAACGGGCGCAGGATGGGGAAGTTTTGGTGCTCTTCAAACGATTCAAAGCAATGCGGCAAGTATGTTTTGCCTTCTGTTCTTTTCTTTCTATTTTATCGTTATAATGTGAAATCGCGCGCTGTTAACCTCTCTCTCTCTCTCTCTCTCTCTCTCTCTCTCTCTCTCTCTCTCTCTCTCTCTCTCTCTCTCTCTCTCTCTCTCAAGTGCTAAACTATCTCCGCGTATTATTTCACTATTTTACGTTTATCTTATCGCAAAAAGGAAAAAAGGAATATTCATCCAATTATTGTTTATTAATAGATACTAAACATTTTCTACTTTGCTTTATTGTTCTAACATTATGTGTGGTTATTCAGTTTCAGATGTAGTCTCGAAATTCGAATATAAAATCGAAGCGAATCCGAAAGATACAAACACATTGGACACGATTTTAACATGGGGTATACCGTGTTCTTTAAACGGTAAGCTCGATGTTTTCAATGTGTCGGTTCACGGAACCAGAGACGGATACGAGAATCATACCTTCTCCATATTAGAGGAATGCATCGATTACGTTGACAATGATTACATATGCTTGGTGAATCTCAAGGAGCTGAAAGGAGAATATAATTACACTTTCTCGGTGTACCCTAAAATTTTGCAAGTCGACACACCTGGACCAATGACGAGTCAGGCTGGTATATTATATCCTGCCGGCAGTAAGCATCAATTCATAAACATAAATTCACCGATAATCCGTCGCCCAGCTTGAAAGTCTCCAAAAGGATCTGATATCTGATGATTTTGATTTTAATAAGGATCCAATGAACGTTCTATTCAATTTAGTTTCCATCACGCATTCAGTCATCTGTGTCTGTGACAGAGATACTTAACATTCGAATGTAATTTGTTCAAAGTTCAATATCGCGTCCTTTTGCAGTCACATGGAGATTTGCATAAAGATTTGTAAGATTATTCTTTATCGTAGTACCGCCGCTGCCGGATGACGAATACGTGAAGTGGATCACAATAGACCCCTTCAAGGCGATTAAATCCACAACGACGGCTACTGTTTTGTTGCCCTTGTTTTACGATACAAACGGCAACATCAAATACTACGCCATCATGGTATCGGAACTCGGATACAACAAGCCGACGAGCACGAGGTTCAATCTGAAGGAAAAGTCGTGGCCTAATGTGTCCTCCTGGAAGGAAGCCATGATGAGCGACTTTTCAATAACGTATCAGGCGACGCGTCCAAAGTGGAATCCTTATCGTAGGTGATATGTCCGTGCAGACACAGGACGGCTGTTTACGAAGCGTACGAACCCGAGCGTCGCATGCACGCATGCATGATTAATTACCCGACGACTCCTTTTTTCAGCGTCCAACATCGCCGATTACGGTCGCATGAAAGCCGTCAAGTTTGTAATCGGCGCCGACACCGTCTGCAAGGATATCTCGTCTAATGATGCTAACGCGCGAAGCCCGGTCTACTGCAATGGACCGCTCAAGCCGGACACGTGGTACCACGTTAGAATACGGGCATTCACTGAGGGTGGTTATGCCGATTCTCAGATATTCGTGGTGAAGACCAGTGAGTAATCTAGTTGTAACGCGCAGTCGACATAAATGTACGTGAATGCTCTATGAACAAGTTATGTAACGAGAGCGCAAATATAGGTGTCACTTAATTTGTTCTCTTTTCCGTAACGCGCGTTATCAGACGCAGAACTGAATGTCGCTATCGTCATCGGGGTCGTCTTCGGCATCCTATTTCTGGGAATATTGACAACGATGATGTTGCTCGTGCGAAAATGCTCGCCGTACGTGTAAGTTATATAACTATTATTTTTGTAAGACAAAAGAAAAAAAGATCGACAGGAAAGAAGCGGATGCAGAACGCGCGGCAAGACAATGTGAGAGCGAATGCGTCTCGTGGATCGCGGATCGTGCCGGAAGAAAATCATCATTTCCGAGTGAAAACCGAGTGACTTTCGCGACTCTATCTCGCGTATCTCGCAACTGCACTGCTTATCGCTCAACTTATTCTATCTGTCGCATATACGATGAGATGGAGAGCGAGATAAGATAAAACGTCTCTAGAGTCGCTCGCAAATTTTGTGCAAAAGAAGCGCAAAATAGAATAAATTCGTATCGAGCGTTAATAAGAATGATCGATCGGTCTAGCGCGTCGCTTTGCGTGACCGCGCTAGACCGATATTGAAAATCCCGACGCGATGACGCGGCCGTACGCGGCCCGACACGCACGGAGCGTTCCAGGTAGACGCGTTTATGAACAATGATCAATATTTATTCTATGACTCAGAAGAGGAGAGACTATAGCTAGAGCGTTAGCAAGGTCATTCGGTACACGCGTCTATCATACACAGCAGTTAAGATATACAGCACATTACTCGGGCTTGGCGTTGAATGAGGTGTCAGTTTGGTCGTCGCTGCGCTATCGCGAGAACACACCACCGAATCGGGTATTTTTATCATGGATATTTTTGTACATGAGTGAGACAATGGTGAATAACGATAGAGACAGTGTCGTTGTAACGTCCGCTATATCGGCCTCGCCGGGAATTCGGTTATGACTGGCAACTTCCGGAGGAGCAATTCGCTGTTTTCGTTTCTAGCTAAGTGCGTACGTTGCGTTGCGTAAGCTTTTATTGTTTCGCGCGCGCCGCCGTTCGCGACCGAGTCACTCGCAGTGCCGACGAGGAGAAAGAAAAAAAAAATACATGCACATGCACGAAGCAGCAAATGCTACTGCGCAAATCTGCGTGATCTCTCCTTGGCGATTACCACGATAATCGTCGTCAAGCGCGCTACTTTTATTCGCTCGTTAGCTTCTCTTTGTATTTTGCGTGTCAAAATTACGGTTCTCTCTTTCTCTCGCTCTCGCGCATTTGTTTTTGTCTTGCGTGTCCCGCTAATAAGATGAAAACGGGAAAACGAATTCTTGGTGAATCCAACATCACTGAGGATCGGTTGCTCCAACTTCTTGGTAAGTTAACTAATTGTTAAATCATACATTTGTCTTTGTTTTTCCTTTAATTTAAACGAAGACAGACATATGATTTAACTATCAATTAACTTACCAAGGAATCGGAGCAATCTGCCCTACATATATTGTATCTTGTGATTGATCGCGTATTGCGTATGATGATTGACTTACCTCTCTCAGAGGAATTCGGGTTCTAATCATACGTTAATTATTCTTCCAGAGTGCTACGAAGATTTTTACATTCCGACATGCCCGGCTCACCAGTACCAGCGCCGTTCACCAGAAAGAAATTTATAGCGCATTGTCAACAATTGGTCGACAATCCCGGGAAACTCAGCAATGAGTTTCGGCTGCTGCAGACTCTCAGCGTCGATTTGCAGATGCCGACGAACAGCGCCTGTTTGCAGGCTAATCGAAAGAAGAATCGCTACTCCGATATTTTGCCCTGTATGAAATGAGTCTCGCGATGTATTTTTTTCCAGTCTCCCACGCGACTCGCGTGAGAGATGTTACTTATATATGTGATTCACGCTTTCAGATGATTTCTCAAGAGTAAAACTGGAGGTGATAGACAATGATCCTAATACCGATTACATCAATGCATCATTCATAAGAGTGAGTATTACGCGCGGTGCTCGATAAGCATAGCGGTGCACGTAATATCGCTTCTGTCGGCAAGTGATTTTTCTGTGACGGGAATGTCGATAGATAATTATTAAACTATGATCAGCTAAGAGAGCGAAGAGCGAAGTATTTTTTTGATGATTTATGCTTTCCAAGTGTAAAGAGATAACGATTAGATAAGTGATTTTCTTGTAACAATAATGTCGCCACATATTAGTAATTATTGGACTATGATCGGCTGAGAGGCAGAAAGAGAGAGAGAAGGGTATGTATTTTGGTGATTTATACTTTTACAATGCAGAGAGATAATGACGATAAAAATGAGTCTTTTGTGATGAAATCGTGATTTAAGGTATTAGTTTTGAAATTTGGAGAATTTAATATTTCCGTAAAAAAAAAAAAAAAAGGAAGAATGATGTTTGTTCGCTCCTCGAACTCGATTTATCGAAGACTTTGCATAAGCATGATTTAGCAGACACCATAAATCGATCTCCCACGAAATACATCGCTATATTTCAGGGGTACACAGGTGAAGACGAATATATAGCTTGCCAAGGTCCGAAGGAAGAAACCACTTACGATTTTTGGAGAATGGTCGATCAATACAACATTAATATTATAGTTATGTTGACCCAGTTGGTCGAGAAAGGCAAAGTAAGTTCCGCTTGTCGGTATCAATCATTTTAGATGATACGAAGATGCACGTTTTTGCACGTTGATTCTTTTTCTTCAGGAGAAATGTCACCAGTATTATCCAACGATTAGGGAAACCTTTCGATATGAGAACATGACGATACGTTGTACGAGTGAATTAGATTTCAGAACATATACTCAAAGAACGCTTGTGCTACAAAAGGTTTGTGATGAAAACAGAAAAAAACATCGTGCATAGGTGAAGAAAAATAATAATGTGACAAACGTATTTATATCGATGATAATAATTACAGGAAAATAAAAAAAGAAGCATCATTCAATTACACTTCAAAGACTGGCCCGATCACGACGTTCCGGAAGATTTCGACCCGATGATCAATTTCTGCCAAATAATGCGTCGCAATATTAGCGCGAGTAAAGGTTTCGTCGTCGTTCATTGCAGGTGCGAATAAACTGCGATTAAACTGTAAAAACACGCACTAAACTTAAACTCATAATTTATAATTATGAGTTATAATTATTGAATAACGAAGAACCTTACTCTGTTTTCCTACAGTGCAGGGATTGGCAGGACAGGAACATTAATTGCGATAGATATTCTTCTACAGCATCTCAGAGATAATAGAAAATTAGATATTTTCGGAACAGTGTATAGATTGCGACATCATAGAATAAATATGGTGCAGAGAGAAGTAAATATATCACAGACATATTTTTCTATATATCGATATTTCTACAAATGTTCATATAATGCAGAAAGTAAAATAAATCCCTTTTATATTTCCAGAGCCAATACGCTTATATATATAATTGTATCAAACAAGTACTCAAGAATCCTTATTTCTTAAAAACTTGTAAGTAATTTTTATAGATTATGTTTAGTATTTTCTTTTTAAAATAGAGAGTAGTGACACAAATGCACTCTTGCAGATAAGCCTCCACCAGTTGATCCGGTGTATGAAAATATCTCAAAGAAAGCCAAAGACACAGCGAGTACAGATCAAAATCTAGTCAACAGTCTTGAAATACGTATGTAATATATATATATATATATCTTACTCTACGGTTTTTTAAGCAACTCTTACTCTTATGGTATTATTAATGGTATTGAGAGAAAAAGCACGGTAGAAATAACATTAATTTATTTTGTACTACAGAATGAGAGTCTCCGTCTATAATTTAACACATGATGAGGTAGGAACAAATGCTTGGATCCTGTCTTCTGTTTTCGGTTTGCTGTCCTCTCTTGCCGCTTCTTGTTCTTACTTTACTTAATCCACTCATTTTCTTCATCTTATCTAATGATGTGTTCCAACTTAAGTACATACTCACACATCTTGCATTGTCTTTCTGCATAAGCTTGGTGAATAAATTTTCTTTCTGGGATATACATCTGCTTTGGGTGTTTATTTTGTTACGAATAAAACGTTGTTATGCAATGTAGAAGGAATAAACCATTATTTGATTTAATCTTGCATTGAGATTCATATATACAAATTTCATCATATAATTTAACAAAATCTACAATAGTATATTTTTAAAAGACGTAATCTTATTGAACGACATTCCATCGTAGAAATTATGTTTAGAACTGAATTTGAAGATATATCCGAACGTTTACGAAATATCAAAGTTACAAAAGAAGTAAGTTCAAAAATTATTTTTATAAAAAGAATAGAAGAAATAAATAAAGTTATTGTATTCTTCCGAAAAACTAGTAGTCAAGAGATTTAGCATTCGCAGTCGGTTACATATTGCATAACTACGTCTAATTATTGTGTTTCTTAATTTTCTCACTGCATAGTTACATATCATTTCAGTAAAAAGATACAATAGCTCCGTATCTATGGAGTCTCTGGAAACAATCCACAATTTTTTTCCTTGGTCATATGCAGAACAACAAAGAAGCGCGGTAAACAGTGGTAAGAGTGGAACGCAATCTCATGAAAGTAAATTAAAAAGCACAAAGGGGAGAAATAATTTTATTAAATATATGATCCATTGATTGCATTCAGCAGAACGATGCGCTTAGTATGTGACTTCTGAATTTAATTAGTATATACTTTTGAATCTAGTTAGAATAGCTGAGACTGCTGAACGCAACATGTTTGTTTGTATCATACGATAGATTTAATTTCACGTAATTCTGATTCAAGGTTTAAGACAATACAAATCAATGGATGGCATAGATAAAAAGACTCGTCACAACATTATGCGTGAGTGAAGATTTTTTTCAAACAATTATATCTTTATTGTAAGAATTATATTAACAAATGTTTCCTTTTCTTTCCTCAGAGAAAGCTCGAACCTTGGAAAGTGTTATTCATAAATCACTAAATTTAAAGGATTCAATGAACAAAAAGTTAAATAGTCAAAACTTAACACAAGAAAGTTATCCTTTGATAACTTGTTCAAACTCAGCTGATGTATTCGGCGACAGCTCACAATATGCAACAGACAGTAAGTTTCATATTTCTCTTTGTTAAAACATTAAATTTTTCTTTTTTACCGTAAAAATCTATTCTTTCTCTTTTACAGACATGTGAAAAAAATAATCGAGTTATACAATTCTCATGTGTCAGAGACATAGATCAAGACAATTTGTAATTATATGTAAATATGAAGTCCTGTGACAAAATCCAGGAACTCTTAGGATAGGAATCGATACATTCTGTTGTAATACACATACTTCTTTGTATAAATAATCATAATTCTGCATGAGCATTCCCATGTATGAGCATATATGACACTAGATAATCAGATACAGATGATGTTATTGTGTGATATTGATAAGTATAATATTTACATCAGCGCTGTTACCTGACATATGCCTTAAATAATCTAGTCCAATTAGAATTGGATAAGATTTTAAAAAAAGAAAAAAAAAGGAAGGCAGAGATTGTCATTAAAAGAAATTATGAATATATTTGTTTTAATTTAAATATTAAATAAGAAATTGTAAAGTTAGTTAATATAAATTGTAAATATACTTATATAAATTATTCATGCATATCCTTATATTTATTAATTATATAGTATTAATTAGAATTGAACATGGCTTACTCAACTGAATTCATTGGATTCGTTCAACTTAACAGGTTTTAATATAAAACAAAAATATAGTATTAATACTTTTTTAATATTAAAGTTGGATATAGTTTTTGTAAATGAATTAATATCGATACTTAGTTGAATAATCTTTTGGTGATACAACTAAACCTCGACCTTTCCTTGCGCCTCTGTAAACTGTTTCAATAATATCAATCATTTCCTGCTTGTCCTCCAAAGTCCAATTTATTTTATTGTTATTTCCTGTGCCTAAATCAATCATTATGTGCTTGTTCCTGAAGAAGAACATTACTGTACATGGGTCATATAATTCATACCTAAAAATTTATATATAATTAGTTTATATTGATATTAATTAATAAGATACATGGTATTGTAGTTATTAGTATAAAACTATTAAATAAACCAAGCTTCAATAATAGTAATTAATTTAATCTTGCTTTTATTCCTTTTTATCTCTCTGAGAATTATTTAATTTATTTCATTAGGTAGAATCACTAATATAATGTAGATGTTACTATATATATAAGTATAAGTATCTACGTACATTTTGTTAAAATCAGGTACTTTTGTGATATCAACCAAATAAATAACAGCAAAATTCTTAACCTTTTCTGCAATATTATAAAGAACTTCATCCATTTTCATGCACATTGGATCCCAGTCATGACCAAAGCGAATAACCTGGTAAAATGTTACATACAAATAGTTAATATACTGATTACTGAGATTGACAATTAATCCTCTATTACCCTATGTAATATTTGTTGAATCATTATATGATTTCATTACAAATATTACATTATCTCCTTTCAGTGTTATCTTTTGATTCATCAAAATTAATATATTTATATAAAGTTATAATATAAAAATACATATATAGATTCTGTATCTTCAGAAACATAAATCAATTATTTATTTTATTCAATATATTTCTACAAGTTTAAGTTTTCACAGAGCCTTAATAAATTATTCTGTTAATAAAGGATTATCTTTACATACATCCTAGATGGCAACAAGATTAGAGGTTAAGTATAAACATTCGAGAACTTACCACTACTCTGTCTTCTTCTGATAAAATAGCTTGATCGACTTGAAAGCCGTTTTCCAAATGTGACAGCATATAAGACATTTTGTAGTATATAAAATTCAAAAATTATTACGTTTAAAAAATTATCCTATCTTTTCGGCGTAAAGAGGCAGTGCCAACTTGTAATAATGTGGTAATGCTTTACGAAAATTTTTTACAAAGAACTTCCTGAACTGACGCACATTGAAGCAATAAGTTAAAATGAAATAAAATATACTTGTCTCTCAATTTAGCACCAGTGTTCATCAATTAACAATGCTCTTCAAGAAAGAACAAACTTTATGATAGTCCATTCAACGGGTTATTCATGGAGTTATTAAAAAACAAAAAATTCGTCGACTATTTGAAAGCCAGTCATTTGACTTTTGTTTCTTACTATTTATAAATAAATAACGTTATTTTACTTGTGCAGACGTACAGTTCAATTCAATTCAATTCAATAGATGGCTCTGGGTGTATAAAGCCAGCGGCACACGGTGCTTGTTTTCGTGCTGGATTGCTTGCTGGATGAAAATATTGCGTTGTGATTGGTACATTTCCGAAGATGGATGGAAATGCACCAATCAGAACGCAGTATTTTCATCCAGCAAGCAATCCAGCACGAAAACAAGCACCGTGTGCCGCTGGCTTTATTTGATTCAATGGCCGCATTCAGTAGAACAAAGTGATCAGAGAGCGCTTAGTGATTATTGTCTGTGATTGGAGCATTCTTTTAGATTCTTCAGAGACCCAGAAGTATTTACCAATCAGGAGCGAGATTCAGTGGAAAATCTAGTAATGTTGTCCAACTGTTGAGTCTGCTGAATGCAGCCAATGGCTGCGTTCAGTAGAACAAAATGATCAGTGAGCGCTTAGTGATTATTATCTATGATTGGAGCATTCTTTTAGATTCTTCATAGACCCAGAAGTATTTACCAATCAAGAGCGAGAATCGCTAAGCGCTCACTGATCACTTTGTTCTGCTGAACGCAGCCATAGGGTGCATTCAGTACTACAACCGCTCACTGAGCGCTCAATGAGCTTTTACATTTGATTGGTATATCCCTTTAGATTTAAAAATATACACCAATCAGATGCAAGAGCTCACCTAGCGCTCAGTGAGCGGTAGTACTGGCTGCGTTCAGAAAACACAACGGTTACACAACGGTTGAGTAATTCGTCAACGTTATTGGTCTGAATGTAAGGATCTAACAGTAAGGACCAATAGTTACTAAGCGCTCAGTGAGCGCTTTGTTTTCTGAACGCAACCACTGAATGCACCCAATTTGAGCTATATTAGTTGAAAGTCTGTCTGACTTGTCGTTGAATCATACTACCTCCGACTTATCATTTCGGATGCTAGCGGCTCGTAGCGGAGATTTCAGAACTAATAAAAGTAACGGGTCTAAATAAAGGCTATGCTGGCGGGTTTAAAGATCATTGGGTCAAATAGAGTAAAAATTGCATGTCATTTAGTTACAATTCTAAAGTCTTCGCTAGAAGTCGCCACCATCTACATTGGTAATTTATCGTGGTATAACTCAACGGCAAGTTAGACATATTTTCAGTATTCAAATTTTACATCGTAACAGTAAATAAATTTTTTATTTATAAATAGTACGACTTAACTTAATAACAGATCAAATAATTTTTGTTTAGGAGTTTTATAATTCAATAGCAAATCGAAAGATCTTTTTATCATCCAGTAGTATCTTCCTAGACAACACGGAGCTTCCAAAAAACATCTTAAGAATATCCTGGAGATGTCCTGAGAATATAAAATATCCTAAGAATATCCCAAGGACGATCATAAAACATCCCTTTGATGTATACTTCTGAGTTCTTAAACGAAGTCTACAATAGAAGTCGTAAAATCCTAAAGTCGTAAAAGAAATTGATTGAGCAGTCACAATTGATTATACTTCGACTTCAAAGAGAATAATTGACTGTGACTGATCAATTTTCTTACAATCTTGCGGCTAAAGGTCATTCTACGATACGTGTCGTGAGTTGTAGCCGTAAGAATTGACGAATCACAGTCGATTATTACAAAAATAATCGGCTATAATTGGTCAGTTGTTACGGCTTACAACTTACGACATGTATTGTAGACCAGGCCTACGCCTTATCTAGTAGTATGACTCAACGACTAACAAAAGAATATTAACTTGAAACGCTTGGTGACGCGTTCGAATTGGTGGATTCGACTCGTACGATTAGCAATGCGATGGGCATTTTCTCCGTAGCAGCCGAAGAAGAAGGAGGAGGTGAAAGAGGAGGACACGACACTCTATGGGCCGCGTGCAGCAGTGACGACGTGTGTCGAACGTGGGCGAATGTTGAGCTTTCTCAGCGTACGAAGAAGATGCGCGTGTCAGGAGACCGCGGGGAAATGAGTAACGAAGAGTCGGCCGGAAAGCGGGTCATGAATCGTTCAAAATGAGGAGAACTTGTAACGCCGTGGTAGAGGCCCGGACAACGGATAGCCTCGAAGCCACAAGACGTCTGCACAGGTAACAATCAATCTTCCGTGGAGTTCTGCGGAGATTCAGCTTTTGCGTAATTTTATGCAGTATCGCTAATGCGATCATGGTTAATGGGGACAAGGTAACTTCGATGAACGTACACCTAACCGCTTTATCCACTTTTTTTATCGCTTGTTTCCTTTCTTTTTGTTCATGTTGAGCCTCGAACCACGTTGAATTTATTGAGCGCGTTTGAACAAAACATTTAATTAATACGTTTAGATTTTTCCAATATTGCATAATAGTAGACATGTTTGCTGTAAAAAAAATTTACGGGCAAGTACGTTACATATTGTTCACGATGACCTTCATGTAACATAAACACGTATTACTTTTACCCCCTCCCTCCCAAACATTTATATATTTTATTTGTAAGGAGCGTGACGGAGATCGTAAAAAGATTAGATGAACAAAAAAATCGTGCCCTCACGGTATGTGATATATTTATCCCATCTGTGGAAGTTCTTCGTGTAAAACTTAAGGATTATTGCGAGAGATTGATACTGAAAGATCCTGTTGGAAATGCGCGTAAAACGGAGGAATTGTTATGGAGAAAGGCGTTCTACGATGTTGTTTATGCAGCTAAAAAATTGCGCAAGGTAGTAAATCAGTTCGATGAGTTATAAAATAAAGTTAAACGGTAATATTATGAAAATAATGAAAGCATAGCATTTTATATAAGATTTTGTTTTTAATTTAATGTTATATTTTAGACCAATCAGTGGAATGAATCTGAGAAGGCATTACTGTCCGTACATTTGGCAGTGGGTGTGGGATATTATCATCATCTGATATTAAGACTGCAATCCGAATATGATCTGGATCTTGTTGGTGTTATCGACTTTGCATTCACTCGCTTTGAGAGCATTTCGTCATACGTAAGTATGACTCCGTATGTAAGTACTCTTGCAGAAACTTTTTTTTTTAATTTATTTATCAATGCTTGATGCAATTAAATGAAGAACTTAGGTTATAAGAATTTATTTCATTGAATTGATATTTTAGGCAAGATGGATGGCTAAAATGGAGCAACCTAAATTAACTCACACCAAGGAAGTCAAACAGTGCGTCATGCGCTTAATCCATCGAAGCCTGGTGTGCCTTGGAGACCTGACCAGGTACAAATTAGAATTAGATTCAGATTGGGATCCAATGATAGCAAACAGATATTACAAGATGGCTATAGCCATTGATCCAAACATCGGAATGCCTCATAACCAACTTGGTACTATTGCGGGTGGGAAAAATTATGGTCTGGATGCAGTTTATCATTATATGAGATGGTTAGTATCACTAACATACCGGCAGTATTAATACTCTTAATAGCAAATTTATCTTGTAATAAGCATTAGTAATAACAACAGTGAAATATTACTACAATTATTATTGCTTTATAGTGTTTTGTGTCCCGAGTTGTTTGAAGGAGCAGAAGGAAATTTGAAGAGATCTATAATAACCAATTCCACCTGTACAGATGAAAACAATTTGGTTCATCATTGTGTATCGCGATTATTTTCCCTGTTACGTTTGTGGGATTACGACAACCCGAATTCGGATAAGATAAATCAAGAATGTCAGGTACATGAATAGTATATATTATATTTTACTATAACGATAAAAAGCAATGTATAATTTTATATAAAATTCTTAATTTTGAATATTGGTTGTGATAACGATTGATTTCTTTTTCTTGATAGGATCTTTTGACTGATATTGAGAATTGTTTGATAATAGAGCAATCTGAGACGAATAACACGAGTTCTCTTGAAAATGCGGATAATATAGAGACATATCTACAAAATTGCAAGAGCAGACCAGCGCTATACCTAACGGACGACATGGTATTTAAAATCGTGACAATATGCTTAATGTCAATTTCTAGATTAAAAAGCAGAGAGTCTAGCGAGGTGCAGGGTGTCGTTGCTATTACTTTAGCAATATTGTCTCAATTACTACAATTTACAATAACCAAACTGCAAGCATTGGTCATGGAAACGGCAGTACCGGACGTCGAGGTGAATGCAAATTCTTATTCCTCAAAGCTTAAAAATGCACTGAAAAAGGAGGCGCCGCGTGACGAAAGGGAAGACAGTGTAGACCATGTGCCGAAAGAGAATTCCGTTTCGAATCAAGACAATAATACATCGAATTTAAATAAGAAGGAGCAGTCGCATGCTATCGAAGGCGCGAAATCGCTGGACAATGGAGTTACGAACAATGAGACGTCCAAGAAGACTCGCGAGAAATCCAAGAGTCTCTTGAGCAAGCTACGCAGGCGAAAGAGACGAACAAGTTCCGACTCGGACGCGAGCGACACGGAGCAGCCTGTACTAGTATCATCCAGCGATGAGATGCACTCCGAGACAGAGGAGGATGACGCGCTGAGCGAAGAGAACGACGCTCTATCGGAGGATGCTCTTTCGGACGATAATACGGATGACGAAGAGTTATTGTCCTTGCGAAATAAAAAGCAATCCGACGAGAATGCGACGAAGAAAGAGATAAACGGTCATGCGGACGTTGCCGACTGTAAAACAGAGGACAGCGTCAACAAGGACGACAACAGTCAGTTGGTCAATGGCGAACAACGAGTGGCGGACGAGCAAGCGGAGCCGAAGCCTATCAGCGATCAGGATTCTGTGACGAATTCAGCCGGCAGTGCTGTGACCATCACGACGAACCCCGACTCTACCAGCAGCGCTTTTGAAGAAAGCAGTAACAGCAACTCGAGCAACACCGTCACCTGCATGGCGCAGTCGAAGAAGCAGAGCTTGAAATCGAACAGCGTCTTGAACTTATTGATCGGTAAAGAGATCCTAGCGTCCATTAAAGTTTGCTTCGACTGGTTGCGAAGCAGTCCCGACATTGTAAGAATATGCGCCAAGAGTTCGCGGATATTGCTGAAACGCGTGACGATTCTGCTGAATCTTATCAACGTGGACGGCGAAGCTTTCCTGCCTAAGAACGAGGACTCCGCGATCCTGGCGAGTGCGGAAAGACTGCGGGAGTGCGTGAGAACGTTGCCGCTGCCGGAGGACAACGATCTTAAGGGTCTGACTCTGTTGGAGGAAGCGCATCGGTCCCTCAACTGGTGCATATTGCACAAGCACAAAATGAGCAAGAGAGAGGAGACATTACTGAGGATGTTGAAGCTGGTTGAGTTCGGGCGTCACCTCAGCGCCATCGAGGAGTCGGGCGTGCAATATGACCCAGTCGAACGGCTGTTCGTCGCGAGCGACTACAGCCCATCAAACGCCCCGAAACCAGTGGGCTTGGACGAGAAGAAGTTCAATATGGAACATCCGAGAAACAAGCTTATGAGGCACATGGGTAAGCTTTGGTTGAAGGCGGAAGTGCGTGCCTTGGAAAGCCAATTGCACTTCCGACTGATGTCACCGTACCTTGTGCCCGACCACGAAGCCTTGGCCAAGTATACACCGACCCTTAAGCGCTTGGTGTACGCCAAGATATTCGTAGTAGTGATTCCCGCGGCTGGTGAGTAAAATGTGTCACTGTAATCGCAAGCACTATAATAGAGCTTCCTTTATACTACGTTAGTTTAGAATCGTGCACCACCGTGTGTGTGATCGTTTGGCGATTATGATTATTTTACACCTACAACAGGCAATAACGCCAATTTCGTTTTCGACAGTCGTCTCAGCGTTGGACGAGGTGAAGCGTATTAGCGGCCAAGCGAGAGAGGCGACACGATGGCTGGAGATTCAACTGAGACGTGGCACGAGATTTCTACGAGCGCAGAGACCTCATGAGCGTCTAGCGTTGCCACTGATTAAAGGACCAAGACCGAAGGATAAAGAGGCCTGGTTGTTCTTTCAAATCATAGAATGTTGCCATTATCTCACTCAGCAGGCAAAGGCCGGTTTCACCGGTGACGGGGAAGCGCCGGTCGTGACTCTCTTGACCGGCTGTAATCCGGACGAGAGGAAGGCTCTGACTTTCAGTCCTGATGGATTAGCGAAAAGTGCAGGTGATTATTCTCTACGTTTCTCGCTTTTCCTCCAACTCGTCATAAGACGCTAATGTGAAGTAATTAACATTCAATATTAAGGATTTCGCGTTAAAGTTGACAATTTATCGTTGGGTTTCGTGTGCGGTAAAGATGTAAATGAAAGCGAGTCGACCGGTTTAACATTATAATAGTAGCCAATTTTGTTGCTAATGGCTAGCTTTGTTTCATCGACCGATGACTTTCGTCTAGGTGTTAATCTGGAGCACATCGAATCGTTTCAAACCAAGTGGAAATCGTCGAGCAAGAGTCACGGTTGAGCGAGGAACGCTTCTGCGTGATCATTCACTGCTGTTCTCACCTTGGAAGTCGCCGACGACTTAGAGCGAGGTCATATCGGAACTTGTTCGGCTAGACACACCCGGACTCGATCGACAACAGGAAGAGACAGATAAAGAGAGAGAGAGAGAAGAAGGGGTTGGAAACCCGTGAAAGGGAAGATCAATCGATTGAGTTTTGTGAGCACGGCGAAATCGGTGCCGATGGGACGTCCTTTCCCGCAGCGCATACAGAAGAATTTTAAGTAACGAAATTACATTTTTCCTCTCTTTCTAACTATTCATATTGCCATTTATGTTTGAAAGAATTGTATTTTTAAGTAAACAATTTTTTAAATAATCACAACAATGTTTTCACCAGCCACATGAAAATCCCGGCGAAGTCTCGAGCTCAGAGCGATTGTCCGTAGGCGCAAATGATCGTCTTGTCGAAAAATAAAAAAGAAATAAAGCGCATAATGCAAACGGCCGGAGCGTATCGTCTATGTCAATCGAGACAATCGAAACGTCTAAAAAGGTCTAAAGGTTAGGAAACGTTCATCGTTTAATACATATTAATTACGTAGGCACGAGAAATATTACGCACGACTCGCCGTACGATAAATCTCACCGATTCCCATCGTTTGTAGACTTGTCTCGTGTTTATCGCGACTTTATCTCGTATATATGCGTATATGTGCGTTCGACGATTATATTTTACTACGTGTACAAAGAATGTGTGTGTGTGTGTGTGTGTAAACCAAACGGCACTGTGCGTACGGAATGTTTCGAATTGACCTTGAGAAATATTAACGTTTATATTCTCAATTTGTAATATCCGAACGCCGGTATTTAGTCTTCGGTTCGTAAAATATTTCTCGTCGCGCAGAAGACCCTCTCCCCCCCGCATTAAACTCGCACGGGAATTCCTGAGTAATATATTCGTTAATTTCTCAACACCTTATTTTCCGGACTATGCCCGGCCGCGCGTGTATCAAGTACGTGGGTGTTGCGTATCGGTGGTGCGAGCGGTGCTTTGCATCTGCCTGTGTGTGTGCGACACGATTATTCCGACGAAAGCGAACGCGCATGCGCGGCAGTGCTTTTGCGTTGCGGTAGTGGCAGCGTGACATAACCTAGCGGCGGTTTGTCGTCGTGTTTGCCTGTGTATCGTCGTTGGTTTACGTGTCGGCGGAGGAACGGCCGTGGTCGGGTGGTCCTCGCAACGCGCACCACGCTCGCACAATCAGTCGGCAGACGTGGACGCGTATCACGCGATCTCTCGCGCGGCGCGGTTATCGTGATGGCCGAGCCTGAAACGCCGAGCATCGTGCATGTTGGTCATCGTTATACGTCCATCGCACAGTCTCTCTAGTTCCGCGTACTGGAGTTGTCGGTGAACGAGTCCGAGACGTAGTGTTGCTTGTTGCGTTGCGTTCGAACATTCGAAGCGTGAGCGTGCGAAGGAGCGAGGGAGTGTCGTCGTCGGACGGCTGTGTCGTAGTTTTTTTACACGATAGCACGCAATACCGCGGTCGAGTACGACCACGGTGAGTGAGAAAAGGAGAGGCGGCGAGGAAGAGAGAGAGAGAGAGAGAGAAAGAAAGAGAGAGAGAGAGAGAGATAGAGTGAGAAAGAGAGCGAGCGAGCGAGCGAGGATCGCGCGAGCGTCGAAAGTAACGAGTCATCTACCGATCCAAGATGGCAGAACGTCAGGAGGGTGGTCCGAAGAAGATCACCATCAACGTGAAGACGCCGAAGGAGAAGCAGAGTGTGGAGATCGAGGAGAATGCGACTATAAAGGACGTGAGTATGATAACGATGGCAACCGTTGTCTTTTAGCAGCAATATTCGCTGCTCCGTATTGTCGCTATGTTTGGCGCATCGCCAACCGTCAGCTGTCAAACGGAATCGCGTCAACTTGGTGTTCCTAATTTATTTGTTTTTCTTCCTCCCCCTTCCCCGCTTTGACACGCCGGCAGTTTAAGGAGGTAGTCTCGAAGAAGTTCAATGCACAGGCCGATCAGCTGTGTCTGATCTTTGCCGGTAAAATCATGAAGGATCACGAGACCCTCAGCACGCACAACATCAAGGACGGCCTGGCGGTACACTTGGTGATCAAGGCACCGCGCTCGGCCACTACGTCGAATCAAGAGTCCACCTCGACTCCGAGACCTCAAGGTATGAGTGAACTATTTGGTCACTATGTGTCTTAAATGCTGGGCATTGCGGTAGAATTATTAGAGCACGGTGTTGTATGGTCCAAGTATCTGGAAATTTTGGCAAATTGGTAAATGGATGGTAGGAGCATGTGTACAGTATTCTATTAAAGTTCTAATGTAATTAATATTATATTGAAACATTGTATAATATAATTAATATATTCATTTAATATTCTTATATATAAAATGGGCCTATCATGTTTTGATGTATATTTCTAAGAAAGCAAATACTTTATTTTGTTAGGAAAAAATATTTAATTTCTTATATCTTATATCTTATAAATTCTTATATCGATCAAACAATGGATAAAATACACTATTAAAGAGGCAGACTTATACAGAAAAAAAATACTCATGTCTCATCTGTGACTGCAAGGTGTATCAAGTATTGTTGCTTCATAAAAATTCATTAAGAATCTTGAATGAATTAATATACCTTGACCTATTGCACTTAGCTAATTAATATTCTTATCGATGCTTTTCAATCGTCATTCCGTTTCATATACTTTCATTTTCCTTAAATTTATATTGGAATATATGTTTGCAAATATATAGTTTCCTATATGGGCAGATTAATATTTACAACAATATTACTGATATCTGCAAATGTATTTATCAATTACAGCTGATGTGAATGCTAGTCCATTTGGTCTGGGCAGCTTAGGTGGATTAATGGGATTGGAATATCTTGGCTTGGGATCTGCTAATTTCATAGACTTGCAGCAAAGAATGCAACGGGAGTTATTGTCGAATCCAGAAACGATGCGCCAAGTGCTTGATAATCCTTTGGTCCAGAATCTAATGAACGATCCGGAAAATATGCGTAATCTGGTCACCGCCAACCCTCAGATGCAAGAGTTGATGCAACGAAACCCTGAAATCAGTCACATGCTGAACAACCCTGAACTGTTACGGTAATTATTATTGTGTCATTGAATTGGAATCGACGTCTAGTTATAGAGCTAATTTAAATACAATACCAGTTGTATTTTTCATTTATTCATTTTCCCGTTCACTTTATGTTTTCGATTATCCTTACCTACTAGTTACATTCGATATTTTAACATCTAAATCGAGACTGATTTATTTAATTTCACTCGATATTGCGCAATATTGCATGCAAAATTTTATTTACAGCCAAACCATGGAACTAGCTCGTAATCCGTCGATGCTGCAGGAATTAATGCGATCGCACGACCGAGCTTTATCCAATTTGGAGAGCATACCCGGCGGTTACAGCGCCCTGCGTCGCATGTATCGCGATATTCAGGAACCAATGCTGGCGGCTGCAACGATCGGTCGTAACCCTTTCTCCGCTCTGGTGGAGAACAGCAACTCGTCCAATCAGGACATACAGAATCCGCAACAAGGTCAAGAGAATCGTGACCCTTTGCCGAACCCGTGGAATCCGAATCAGAGTGAAACAACTAACAATAGCGCGGGACAGCAGAATCAGAGCAGGGGTTTGTTGGATTCACCGGGAATGCAGAGTCTCACCGCTCAGATGATGGAGAATCCACAGCTGATGCGAAACATGTTAAACGCTCCTTACACGCGATCCATGCTGGAGGCGATGGCAGCTGATCCAGCGATGGCGAACCGTGTGATCGCTGCGAATCCATTCCTGCGTGGTAATCCGCAGATGCAGGAACAGATGCGTGCCATGATGCCCGCTTTCATACAGCAGATGCAGAATCCTCAGATACAGAGTGTCGTTACCAATCCGGACGCACTGGCCGCCATCATGCAGATACAGCAGGGTATGGAGCAGCTACGTACCGTCGCTCCTGACCTTGTGGAGAAGTAAATTCTTTCGTTCTCGTTACATCAAAGCAATTCACGGAATTTCATGTGACTTAGTGTGTGCGTATGTTTCAGTATGGGTCTTACAGTCCCACCACCGGTCACCACTACGACGTCTAATACCGGTGGCACGAACTCCAGTACACCGACCACCACCCAATCGTCAGACACCAACCAACAGGATGCGTTCTCCCAATTCATGGCACGTATGGTAAGAATCTCTCTTGTTTAATTCCTAGACTGCACAATTTAATTACATAACGGCATCTCACAGTGATGCGGACGCTTTGAGTTGAAATTGCCTAAAATGTATATTAGTAGAAGAGTTCTCAAAGTCTCAAAGAATTTGGAACTTAAAAGTTGTAGAGAATATTAGGTACTTTATCGATATTCTTGGCGTAACATTGGACAGATCTGTATATCAAATCATATTTTATTGATGTGTGTTAGGTCTCTGCGATGGCATTAAACCAAGGTGTAGAAGTCGACGGCCAACCTGTACCTCCGCCAGAAGAACGTTATAGAGCACAGTTAGAGCAACTTACGGCTATGGGTTTCCTTAATAGAGATGCTAATTTACAAGGTTAGAACTTCGATACGCTATTATTTAGATTTTCCTTATATATTTGATATGTTTGATTAATATCTCAGCATCTAAATATCATTTTCTTACTTTCCAGCATTAATTGCCACATTTGGAGACATAAATGCTGCTGTTGAGAGACTACTCTCCAATGGGCAAGTGTCTATGAGCTAACCACCAATCAGCAATACCGTTATTCCATTATTATCTTTAATTTTCTCTTTATTTACCTCGTGCGGCAGACGCGGTGAGAGATTTTTGAGATAACTGGCTGTCGAAGAAAAAAAAATATAAAATTATGCCCCCTCTTCTTCGTCCTCGTTCTATCCGTTTCTCAGTCTTGACGCAATACACGCTACCGACATGTTCAAAATTTGCATCTTTTTTCCCCATTTGAATTCAGATTTGTCTGTGTTTAGACGTTAGAGAAAACGGCATAGATATTGATAACTACGTTCCGGTTATTCACTCTTTGAATCTCCGTTCTCGGTTTGTCTCTGTCCCGTATTCTCTTCGATGTGCTCTAAAACTAAGTAGCTCTGTTGGTGTCATTATTCTGTGTAAATTTCTTTATAAAGCAGTCCTGTGCGGTAGTCGCTGCGACACAATCATATTCACGGCAGTTCTTTACGGCGTATGTCCTTGTAATCTTTCTTATAGAAACACAAACTGAAACCTGCATGGAAAATCTAGATTGCCACTATTAAGGAGCTAGCTTCTCGGCTTCATCGGTCAAGTTGATTCGCAGTACTCAATCATCCTTTTGCTTTCCTTTGATTATTCCGATATATTTATAGTCGCTCGTAGCGAGATATGTTGTTTGTATACGTTTCGAATAAACAAGGAGAAAAAAGAACAAGTAAGAAGAAAACAAAATCAGCATGGAATGAGTAATGCTTTGACACGGATTTCTCGATCGTTTCCTCGTAACGAGAATACACCTTTGGTATATATATGTGTGTGTGTGCGTGTGTGTGTGTATATATATACATAAGGATATATATAAATACACATATATTAGTGGAATTTACACATTACACTCGGAGGGCACGACTCGATGATCCGTACTATAATAAGTTTTCCATGTGAGTTTTATAGAGATACCAAACGTATGAGACGACAACTGCTTTCTTTGAATTGCATACTAGCGTGCACAATCTCTTTGTTGGTTTAATTTGATCGTAGCGTAAAACTATTATCATTAAGCGTTATACATATATATAAATATATATATGTATGTATGTATATATATGTGTGTATATATATATATATATATGTGTGTGTCATATACAGCTATTCTAGCTTTGTATTACAAGACATATATATATAGATATATATATATATATATGTGTCTTGTAATACAAAGCTAGAAATTTGTAGCGTGATTATTGAGAAACATGACATAGATTGTTTATAGAGGAATGTGTGCGCGCGGTATGGGTCGACTTTACGCACGATCACGTCCACGCGCAAAAAAAAATGCGTGAATTCAAAGGAACACCTAATCGTCGGTTAGCTATAAAGCGTAAGGATAAAAAGAAAATGTATGTTGTAAATTATCTTTTTTCGAAGAGAAGCAGCTATATGATTTTAATATTTTTGATTGATGTACGATTACATAAGTATCCATGCGCATTATATTATCTTTTATGTGTATTCAGTATACATCACTGGATGAGACATTCTGCTGTAAAAGCGATTATATTACAAAATAAAGTTACGGTTGATTCATATTCCTCGATCGACTATTGCCGAACGGACTTTTCAGCGTATCGACTAGAACTTGTCTCTGGATTGCTTTTACTCTAACACTAATACATCGAGTGAAATTGTAGATTTGTAATTAGAAAAATTATTTGTTCATATACTCAGAAAAGGAATTGAACAGATATATTCCACTTTCTTGGTATTTACCTTTCTGAACTAACTAACTGCTACGTTTAACTGCATCATTTTATATACTAATTTCATCTCGTGTCTTCTCTTTCGCAAACGAATATTTCCTTTCTGCACTCGCGACAATGATCCAATAAGGCCAGCACGTAAGGAAAAAAATTCGGAGGATCTGTTATTTTAATAATTCGATAATTCATTTCAAATGGTTTTTTTTTCCCACACAAGTCCATGTGTCGATATTTTGGAGATACGCGGATACGCGACTATAGCGCGGTTCGCATGTCCGTCACAACGCGACGCGGCGCGCTGCTCCTCGCTCTATCGAGCCGGGCCAGTCAGTCAGTTGTGTCAGTCGCTCGGCCGGTTCAGTCAGTGAACGCACGCACGGTGGAACGGTGCACCAGCCATAAACGCCGGCTCGAGGCGCAGCAGCTGCTGCTCGGCAGTGTCGGTTGACGTTTCGCCGCCGTGAGAAACTCGTTGGCGAGTTTGCGCGCGCGCGTGTGCAGTCGGCGCGGGTATGCGGGCAGCCTCGTTGGCTGGCTGGCTGGATGGCTGGCTGGCTGGTTGGTTGGTCGGTTGGTTAGTTAGTTCGAGCATCTCTCACGTGCGTGCGTACGCGCGCGCGCCTCCGTGCGTACGGGCTACGTGTGTGTATGTGTGTGCCATACGTGTGCAGTAGGTTTGAAAATTTGAAAAGCGGCGTGCGCGAGTGTCGCGGGGCAGCTCCCGCGCGGTGCAGGTGTATCGGTACGAAAAAGAGGAAAAAAACAAGAGGAGGAGGAGGAGTGCCATCGTCGCGTTTTCCGTTCGCTTCTTGTGGAAGAGGATTCACGTGGCTGGAAGAACGTGATCTACCGTTGATCGTCATCGTCCTCGTTGTCGTCGCTTCGTCGTCGTCGTCGTCGTCGTCGTCGTCGTCGCCGTCGTCGTCGTCGTCGTCGTCGTCGTCGTCGTCGTCGTCGTCGTCGTCGTCGTCGTCGTCGTCGTCGTCGTCGGTCGCCGTCGCCGTCGTCGTCGTCGTCGTCGTCGGTCGTCGTCGTCGTCGTCGTCGTCGTCGTCGTCGTCCGTCGTCGTCGTCGTCGTCGTCGTCGTCGTCGTCGTCGTCGTCGTCGTCGTCGTCGTCGTCGTCGTCGTCGCCGTCGCCGTCGTCGTCGTCGTCGTCGTCGTCGTCGCCGTCGTCGTCGCCGTCGCCGTCGTCGTCGTCGTCGTCGTCGTCGTCGTCGTCGTCGTCGACGTCGTCCTCGTCGTCGTCGCGTCGTCGTCGTCGAGAACGTCGGGGCAGTACAGCCCAGCGGAATGTGGCACGAGGTGAGTTAGCAGCCTGCCCGGTTTTCGCTTACCCGACCAGGAATGGACCTCGACAGTGGGCCCTTTTGCTACGTCTTTCTCTTTCTCCTTTTCTGTCTGCTCCGAGTATCTTACTCCAACTTGAGAGAGCTCTTTTCTCGATTCCTTTCGCCAAATTACGGCGGTTACAGCGTCGGCGGTTAGACGCGGAGCGTCGGTTGCGTGGAAATTTGCTCTCTTCCTCTCTCTTCTCTCTCCCCCCCCCTCTCTCTCTCTCGTTCTTGCATTCTCGCAGCGCGTCTCGAGCTCTTCTCGGTCGGGTACTGAGAAACCGGTATAATTTCGATGGGTCCAGATTTCCCTGCGGTGGGCGCGCGAAAATGAGCTTTACGAGTACGTAAGGCTCATTTCGGTCGTAATTTGTTAACGCTTGCTGCATCTATCAGATTGACGCAATAAATTCATTGTCCCTGTCGAAGGAAACTTCGAATAAGAAGTCAACAACTTCGAACATTAGTCAATCACGAAGAAATTTTTCTTGATCATTCGCGGTATTTCCATGATCAATCGAAACATGTCTGCGTTATCCGTAGCGAAAAATCGCAACGATCGAGAAGCACGGACAATCATTGGGCCCGCTCGTTCGTACATATATGCACAGTTGCGTTCCGAACATATCGAATTTCTTACGTCGCCATTTTTTGCTGATTAATCTGAAATTGCGCCAACAGGATACATCGCGAGTGAACGGACGACAAACGTTGATAATGTAAGTTTTTACATTAATTACGTTCGCGAGAGAGAGAGAGAGAGAGAGACATACCGTGTATCATTCGCTTTCTCTCTCTCTTTGAGGATCGATCTAACAATTTGAATGAATCCTCATTTTACTCTCACACGCTATTGATATTTATGTGCGCACCACATCACGGCAACGTAACCTATTTCGCGCGCGATTAGAAGCAAAACAAAAAGTGAATATCGCCGTCCGATCGCGCTCGGTTAATAATGTATGAGTTTTCGCTCGTGATTCGTGATACGATCGATAGGTACGTTGGGCTAGCGCGAGCGAGCAAGTTTGAAAGAAGTCACGTGTCAAAAATGCCGCTCATCCGCGCGAGAGGTGATAAAAATGTTCCGTTAGCGCGTGCGAACGTGTGACACGCGTCTTGCGTGTCAGCGCGACGCGTGCATTTACGTGGGCGCAGCCGAGGCGGAATGATTTTTCACGTCGAGAGTGTACACACACGCGCGTACATGTGTGTGTGTGTGTGTGTGTGTGTGCGCGCGCGTATGATTGAGGGAATTTGTAAGGGGCATTCCGACGCATGTACGTTTCGCATACACGGGTGCACACACAATCACCCTTATTCGGTTACATTAACGTCGAAATTGAAAACCACTCGATTACGGTTTTCGCGGTTTGCGCATAGCCTCGCGCGTTCAGTGAAAGTGAGATCGAACAAAATTAAATCGATGGCCCAATTCGAGCGGATGCCGATCGAAGTATCCTCGTTTATTATTCTCCGGCTGATTCTCCCTTATAGATCCACCGTCCGCGCGGAAAACTTGGACCGGCGCGACGACGTTACGTCTCGGGGTGCGATTTTATGTAGCTCGCTTTTCACGTACACAGTCGTAGCCGCATTCGAGTCGATAATTACGTAAGAGTCTCTCCCGCGCCCGCGAATAATTTAGGACGCGCCGAAATTGTTACCCTTTCCCTCCCGCCCCTCCCTCCCTCCCTCCCTCCCAACGACAGAGCTCGCGATTCAAGCTGAGAAAAGAAAGATCGCTCGCCCGAGGCGATCGCTAGGTGTCGATAATGCGAAAGTTACAAAAACGAGTGTCCAGTCATTGTGATGCAGCTATAAATCTTTAGCAACATCTAGCCGAGCCGCGCCATTCAGCCGAGTCGCTCGACTTGTTGTCGTTTCAGTTCGCGATGCAGAAAACGCGCGCGATACATCGCGATCCTTGAACCTCGAGTCGCCGTCACAAAATCAACACGGATAACGTCCCGTATAATAAAGCTAAAGGAAAAAGCGCGGTAAATCGGGTCACGCACGAGATTAGCCCGTGGCCTTACGTCACCGCCGCCTTGGGAAGTTCGCGCGGCGGGGTTTCTGGTGTTTTCTTCGTCCGTGTACATTCACGCCAGCCACAGCCAACAGCCGGCAGTTGGCGCGACCTATTTTTTCGCGATCGGGCGGCCGGCCGGCCGGCAGGCGGACGCGCGTGTCACCGGCGCGGCGTGACGATCAATTAGATAGATAAGCAAGCAAACAAACGGCGGTTCATAGTACCGTCTTTTATTCGAGAAACGCGAGCTGCGACGAAACGATATTACGCGCGCGCGCGCGCGTCCTCTTTCGAGCCGCTATTTCTTGCCGGTGCACCGATCCGACCCCGACCGCGCGCGCGCGCGCGCGCGGAGTATGTTCCATCGGCTCGTGAAGCAGATCCCACTCGTAAAATCGATTTCAAGGCAAAAGTGACGTTGCCCGTTGCGACGGGACGGGACGGCCGGGTGTACATGTCGGAGGACGGACATTCCGCGGATTCCTCGCGGTTGATACTCTCCTGAACGCGTCCGATCCTAGACAGGGACCGCGAATCGACCTGTGCGCGCAGATCGGCCCACCCGGGCCTGGCTTCGATGACGAAGGTGTATTAACGCGAAGGTTGCGCTGTGGCAAAGGCACTCCTTCTCTTCTGGCTCAAGGTCGGACTGTTAAGAGGCCTAAAAGCATACGGACGGGTTTGCGGTCGTACGTCTCCGTTCGTTAGATCGGACGAGCGTTTTGCCCCGGCAAATCGTCAGGATGTCAGGTCTCGGGAGGAAACGGCGGAAAACGAAGCGCGAGGTGGCGAGGAGGAGCGACGACGAGTCGTCGTTGAGCGGCGGTACCGCGACGAGAACCTTCTCCGAAAATCACGTGTAGTCCCATAACAGGCGCGACTTAACGATGTGCAAGCAGCTGCGGCGGCGTTATCGGGCAAACAGCGCGGAGCGCGGAAGATTCGCGAAGGACAGAAAGTTGGCCGGGGTAGTTCGCCTTCGCGCAGACGGTTTGCAGAAAACTTGACGAACTCGGTTCCCCTCGCACAGCGAGCGACATCGCGACTGTGTGCGGCGGCGGCGGCGGTGTTGTAACACGATATTTCATTCTAAACTCCGTCAGTCACTCGGCGACGATATCCTGCGACAGGGAGGCACACTCGCGCGTATCCTGTTTTATCGCGATCCGATTTGCGGGCGCCCTCGGCTCTCTTCTTTTTAGCCTCCTCGCTCGGAAATCCGAGACGCGCGCGCCCGCGCGTTTTGGCTTTAATACCCACCGTCGTGGTCGTCGTCTTTCTTCCTCCTCCGGAACGTCGCGCTGTCTTTCTCATTCTCCCCGTGATTTGCCCCGCAAAGTGGCAGCGTGTGGCATCGTATTCACGCGTTGACCGCAACGACCCGTTTCCCCGTCTCTCTCTCTCTCTCTCTCTCTCTCTCTCTCTCTCTTTCTCTCTCCTCTCTCTCTCTCTCTCTCTCTCTCTCTCTCTTTCTTTCTCTCTCTCTCTTTCACTCTTGACCGGTATCGACGGCGGTCACGGCGACGGCAATAATTCTATCTTCCCGTGTAAATCACATATTAACACTTCGCAAGTATAGAATTGCGTGCTGGCCTGCGTACGCGCGCACGTGTGTGAAAGGAGGGACAAGAATCGCGTGTAATGCTGACAATTACAGCGACGCTTTGTGCGAGCTCCAAAGAAATCTTTGTCGAGAGTGGTATCGAAAGAGAGAGACAAAAAACAGAGAGAGAGAGAGGGAGAATTAAGGCGAATAGACAAATGCAGATTTGCCTCGGACGAATAAACACGCGAGACGCTACAACTGCAGTGTGAATTTGTAGATATCGACCAGTGGTGCGAGAGAGAGAGAGGGGGGGGAGGGAGGAAGGGGGGAGGGAGAGACTAAAACGGATCGTGTGTCAGGTATATACTTCCGCTCTAAATGTATCACGGAATATATTTACCCTGAAGGTTTTTCCAAATAGTTCTCTTATCCGTGTCAATTCTTCGCGAGTCTCTTCGTGAAGTGTCGTAAGGATTAGAAATCAAGATCGATTCGTGTTTCAAGCTGTGCGAGCGATTGAAAACGGCAATTCACCCCGAGGCTCGCGGACACGAATAGATAAGAGGAAATCTTTCGCGCGTCCGACGCGAAGAGAATCGTAGAGCCACATCGAGGAACTACGACATTTTACCGTAAGGATTCTCCTCCGGTCCAGGACACAAACGGGCAAGTTCGCCTCTTAAACGCTTCCTAGCTCCCCGGTGCGGAATAGACACTCGCCGCGCCGTAGTACATACATCGTTACTTTGTGTTTATCGGAATTCGCCGGGCGAATTCCGCGCTCGCCGCAATTTTTTAACGACAGCCGCAGGAGTATTTGCTCGCCGTAACGCGTTTTAAACGCTGGCATGAGGCCAAATTGCGCGGCTTTAAGCCGCACCGTGGAATTATCCCCTCGGCGTGTGCGGTCGCGCCGCGTGTCGTTTTGCAATTTTCTCTCCTTTCCCACAATTCTTCCTCGGCGTTCGCTCTTCACCTTCCTCCGGTACCCGCGATCCTTGGACCGGAGCTCTCGTCCTCGATCTCTCTCTCTCTCTCTCTCTCTCTCGCTCAGTCACTCACTCTCACACATATACACACTCTCTCTCTCTCTCTCTCTCTCTCTCTCTCTCTCTCGGTACTTTCTCATCTCCCCGAAGCGGCCGCATTGTTCGAGCGCGGACCCACAATCTTCCAGCGTGATTCCTCTCACAAAGTAGCGATAGATTCGACTCTACACGGACGTGATAGAGCTAAGCTTTACGACTGCGGTTAACCAAATTGTTCGTCATCGCTCGGCTGTACCGTAGGCCGATGTCACGGAGTACGGAGGACGAGAAGAAGAGAAGGAGAAGAACGAGGATCAGGTTCCTGCCTGATGGAGTAGTGCTGAAGCGACAGCGCGCTAATATCT